GGGCGGGTGGGGGGGAAAAGGGGAGAGGGGGGGGGGGGGGAGCCTGCGAACCAGCCAGCCAGGGGTTGCCCCTCCAAGGCTAGGTGGGAGGAGGGGGCCGAGGGGGCGCCCTGTGTCGGAGGAGGCAGGACTTTGGGGCATCTCTTGGCAAGGCCCTTCGTGGCCACCAGGAGGGGGGGGCAGAGGTGGGCCACTGAAAGAAACAGGTCCTCCCCTCAGCCGCCTGGAAGGAAAGGCTGCTTAAGGGGTCCCCGGAAACAGGCAAAAAGGAGAAAGGAACAACAACACACACACACAAACACATATCCTTATCCCACTCCCTGCCACCACAACATGGGTGCAAATGACCTGCACAAGCAGATGGGTGTGTGTGTGTGTGTGTGTAAGAGAGAGAGAGAATCTTGTTGTCCTCGGATCCTCCTTGCGCTGTGGCAACAAGCCTTCCAGGGAGGAAGGAAGGAAGGAAGGGGCCTTTTTCTTCAGCCTGACCTGGAGACTTTTTTTGGGGGGGGGGAGGGTTGAACCCAGGATCCTGGGCATGCGAGCACATCCCGGTAAGCATTGTCCTTTCCCGTAGAAAGTTTCTAGGCACCTCTTCCGGATCAGGGAGTGCCTTTCCCTCAAAATGGAGGCAGGCCCCCTCGTCCAGCTCCTGGAGGGTTTTCTCCACAGATCTGCAAGGGGGGGGGGCGTTGGCAGCCTCTCCCCCTCCCTGACCTGCAAAGGCCAGTCAGCCGCTGGAATGGAGCCTCCTGCCTGCCCGAGGCTCAGCTTTTGCCCCCCTGGCCAGGCGGGCCGGCAGAAGTCCTGGCCCAGGGAACGAGGGGAGGGGAGGGCCGGCTCCCTCCCCCAGACCCTTCCCTCCACCACCACCCGGGTGGTCACCAGAGGAGCCCCTTCCTTCCTTCCTCCCTTCCCAGGAGCCGAAGGTGTGTGTGTACCCTGCTGATCCTCTTGTTCCCCCCCCCACAACACACACACAACACACACACACCCTGGGCTTTGATGGCGGCTTCTCTTCCTCCCACTCTCTTCCTTCCCCTGTCAGGAGGAGGGAGGGATCTCCCTGGCAACCAAGCTGTCAAAGGAGGGCAGGGGAGTTGGGGCTGCACAATCCGGAGCGGCCGGGGGAGGGGCTCGCCCATCTTGCCCGCTTGCCTCGGCTTCGCCAACCGGGCAAGGACGAGGGGCCTCCGCAGCCTCTCCCTCTCTTGGCATCCCCTCTGGGAACGGTCTGTGAGCAGGACTTGTTTGTACAGCAAACTCTCTGGCACGGGTGCAGATTCTGCTTCCAGAGGAGAGCCGGGGGGAGGGAGAGATTCGAGGACAAGGAAGCGACACGTTGGCCCAAGACAACATATGTTGTGGTGACCTATCCCTCCATTTCCCAGGATTAAGAAAGCCTTTCAGGTGTGGTTGGACTACAACTCCCATCAGCCCTGGCCATCAGGGAGTCCAGCATCAGGAGGGCCATTGGGCCCCTTTCACAAGGAACAGAGCAGCCGGAAATCAACCCGGGGTGCTCAGTGGAAGGACAGATCCTGAAGCTGAGGCTCCAGTACTTTGGCCATCTCATGAGAAGAGAAGACTCCCTGGAAAAGACCCTTGATGTTGGGGAAATGAGAACGCAAGACGAGAAGGGGACGACAGAGGATGAGATGGTTGGACAGAGTCGTTGAAGCACCCTCCCGGACTACAACTCCCATCATCCCCACCCAGAGAACAGCAGATTGCCTAGACAGCACCATGAGGGACAGAGTGGCAGGTGGGGTGGGGGGGAGAAAGAATCCCAGGAAAGGAGAGATGGTGGGGAAACAACTTTATGGCCCCTTCTCTTTCCGGCTTCTTCTTCATTTAGATACGGCCTGATCCTGACCTTGCTCTCTTGTCCGACATAACATGGTGGCAGCTGTGGAGCGCCGGATTTCCTCCTGGCCCCCGAAGAGGAAGCGTGCCTTCCTGTCTTTTTTTTCAGACACAAGCTGACAAGCCTTGTATGCCAGTTCGCAGAAACAGGCGGGCGCTGCAGCAGTCTGCACCCGACACCCCCCCCTTCGCCCACGATCCGTGGCACAGTTGCTGTCCTACGTGGCTTTGTCCTCCCGTCCCCGGGGGGGGAGCCTCCATCCGCGCGAGTCTGCCAGCCGCTCCCCTTCCC